CCTTACCCCAGACGCTTGTTGTTGTAACTATTCGCTAGGCTGGATGGTCACCCATCCTAGCGGTTCCGCACTCTGTTTGCTTAACATCGAATATCGGTTGACTTCGACGCTAGGCGCACAGCCACTTGCGGCTTGTACAAGTTGGTGTTCGAAACTCGTACTCGAGGAACTATAGGTCGCTACATATATGTGAGTCTAGGCAGCGACTCTGAGACGAAACGCGCACAACCTTTCCTCACCTTACCCACATCATCACTTCCTACATTATCCTCGCATTATCATCGCCATTTTCAATCCCTTCATATAAAAGCCGCGACAAGGACAGATATACATCATCTGGCAGACGATGTCTCTAGACTGCGGTTTCCTGGATTGCGGACTATTTTTATACATTCATAGGAAATTTAAATGTCCGAAATCGCGCAGAAGGCGATTAACACAAAGAAGTGGACAAAATATCCAAAGTATGATGCTTTTCATAATATCTGAACAAACAATTTCATAAAGATTCTATTTTATAGGAAATTTAAAGGTACGAAATCGCACAGAATGCAATTAACACGCAAAAAGTGTATAAAATATTCGAAATACGATGCTTTTCCTAATATCTGATGCACGAAACAATGTTTTATTTTTTAAATTATAGATATGAATTTGCATAAAAATCCGCAGTCTAGTAATTACCTAATGTTGATCATTCATTCATAAATTCATATTAAGCCATAAATCATTCACAAATCAACAATGTTCAATGTTATTTGATATATACTACACAATGTCAATCGTTTGTCGTTCGTACAACTACGCACACATACAATTACAATTAATTTATTAAATCGATCGGCCCATTGGTTTGTGGCAATTGGATGAAAATTTCGTTGAACCAACGCACGTGTATAAATTAGCGTGTTTAACACGCTGCATTAAAATGGCAAAATGTACGTAAATTATTGGTAAACTGTATGCTCGAATTATGAACATTCGTCGGTGACTGGTATCAGAAGCTTGACTACGCGGCATCGATGGTTCTTAGTATTCACACATTGTAAGTTTATCTCCCTGACGGTTCATCGGATGAATAATTGCCGACGATGTCCAACAGGGACAGTATAAATGAAGACCTTTATAATTAATGAACGGCCGTGGGATCATTGTTTCTTAAAGTGTTCTGGCTGCTGTTATCATTGTGCTCGCCAGAACAACATAACCTTTAACGAAATATGTTTCCGACGAAGGATCTAGGAAAGTCGGATTACATCAGTTTAAATATCCAAGAAAGTGCGACATTCGCGCGAGGATCGTCACGTAGCCTTTGGAGAGTAAGCCGTTGAAATAATCACTTCCCACACGAACAGTGTGATTTTTGTCATTTCTGTGGAGAATTGTTAATAAAATAAATTTTAAAAAATTCTCTTTCCAGCAATGGAATCAATTGTCAAGGTTTCAAAGAAATATCCTTTACTTCTTAGTCATTACAATCATACTAGTTATATTTTATCTGTTACCTGGTGATAATAAGAATGGAGTTTTAGATGAAAGTGATTACAATAATATAGAAGTAGTGCAAGATACTCTTAAATATGAGAAGGTATGTTCGCTTGAATGTAAGTAACTTATTATTGTCTAACATCCTTTGTATCTTCTTAGGCGGTGGAAGATATTGTAGTGGACAATGTAAATCAGGAGCATAAGGGAGGTGGAGAGGTCATCGAGGAACCTGAATTCCAACCAGAAATAAATCAGGTGGATGATGATCAAATTGGAGAGCCACCTCAACCTAAGCCAAATACACTTAAATTTAGTGGTAATTTCATAGTTCTGTAATGTGATTAAGTTTAATCATTAACCTTTTTTGAGACCTGCTTAATACTTTCTACTGAAGCTCTCCAAATTAAATAATGCATAAATATTATTATGGATATATATTATTTTTGAGCATTAATTATTTATTAAAAACGGTAAAATTTACAACATACCTTAATTTGAAAATAAGAAAATTATAGTTAATAAATATAACAAATAATACATAAACTTTAAACTTTCGAGTGGCAAGAATGCCTCATATTTATTGCCATTGCTAAGGAATACACATATTCATCTTATATAAAAATAATTATAATCATACTACGTTTGAGAGATAGTAAAAATTGACAAACGCATATATGCGCCCATACTAACAGCTTTTGCTGAATGCACATATGCGTCCATAGGGCTCAAAAGGTTAATAACGTTGTAATTACTTATGTCTTATTACTTCAGGACCACAAAATAATAGACAACAAGCTGTAGTTGCAGCGTTTAAACATTCGTGGAATGGGTATAAAGAATATGCTTGGGGATATGATAATGTGAAACCAATATCAAAAAAGTACTATGAATGGTTTGGCTTGGGCCTTACTATAGTCGATTCTCTTGATACTATGTATATAATGGGCTTAAATAATGGTAATACTGATAATCTAAAACGTGATAATATATTACATCGTATATAGAATCGAGAAATATTTTCAAAACTGTTTGCTTTTTGTCTACAGAATTTTTAGAAGCTAAAATGTGGGTTGAGAAAAATTTAGTATTTACTTCAAATAGAGATGTTAATTTATTTGAAGTTACAATTAGGGTGTTAGGAGGTCTATTATCAGCATATCATCTTTCTGGTGATAAAGTTTTCCTAAATAAAGCTGTAAGTTGCCTGTTCTGTTTTTTCAAAAGCATATATGATGATATTTAAAGAAGTACTTTAGTAAAATTACTTGTTATAAATGACAGACAGCGTTAGGAGAACGTATGATGCCAGCGTTTTCTACTTCATCTGGTGTTCCTTATTCCGATGTAAATCTTGGTACTAAAACTGCACACGGTCCAAAATGGGGTCCTGATAGTAGTACAAGCGAAGTTACCTCCATCCAGTTGGAATTTCGCGATCTAAGTCGCAGTACAGGAGATCCTAAATTTGAGGTAACTATGGATATGTTTTATCCATGAATATATTATTATTTATATGTAGAAAAGTACGCAATTGTTATCCTTCAGGAAGCAGTAGCAAAAGTTTCGGAACATGTGCACCAATTAGAAAAATACGATGGTTTAGTACCCATTTTCATTAATGCTAATACTGGACAATTTAGAGATCATGCAACAATTACGCTTGGCGCACGTGGTGATAGTTATTACGAGTATTTGTTGAAACAGTGGCTTCAAACTGGGAAGACAATTAATTAGTTAGTATCTCATCATCTTTATTCATTGGAAACTTGTTCTTGTGTCCTTGACTGTTCCTCATGAATTTATGATAATCATTTAAATTTGTAAATGCTTTTAGCCTACGAGATGATTATCTGTTAGGTATTGCTGGAACTCAAAAACATTTAGTAAAACGTACAGCCATTAATAAGTATCTTTTCATAGCAGAATTAGTTGGAGCAAACAAAGAAATAACACCAAAAATGGTAAATTCTGGAATAAAAGCGTTTATGATAACGTAATGTAATTATTAATAATTACTATATTTGTAGGATCATCTTACATGTTACTTGGGAGGTACATTAGCTTTAGGAGTACATCATGGTTTACCATCTGATCACATGAATTTAGCTAATGAAATTGTTAAGACATGTTATCAAACGTATGCAATTCAGCCCACGTTCCTCGCTCCAGAAATCACTTACTTCAACATTCAGGTAATTATGATAATTGTCAACTTGAATAAAGATTATTACAAAAGCGGTATTATTAATTTCAGAGTACAAATGAAGAGAAACCAATGGATATGTATGTGAAGATGAATGATGCCCATAACTTGCTCAGACCCGAGTTTATTGAAAGTCTTTTCTACATGTGGTATTTTACTGGAAATAAAACATTCCAAGACTGGGGATGGCAAATATTTCAAGTAATTACCTAAAAATATTTTTTCATGAAACATGCATACTTTTATTTTATTGTATTTAATCATATATACATATAATTTAACAGGCCTTTGAAAACTATACAAAAGTGGAAAAAGGATACACCAGTATTGGTAATGTGAGGATTGTTTATAATACACCACAAAAAGATATGACAGAAAGTTTTTGGTTTGCTGAAACTTTAAAATACTTGTATTTGTTGTTCGATGACACGAGACAATTAGTAGATTTGGACAGATGGGTATTCAATTCCGAAGGACATCCATTACCCATGTACGAATCATAATCATAATCAAATCTGATCACAAAATTTCATGTATAAATTTGCACTGTTAAAGAAATCTTAACTACCTTTTGAGGCCAGTGGATAGATATATCCTAATGTCATACGCAAATAAGAAATTAGTCAAATTAATGTACTTTGAAGTACGAAATAGATGTGCATTTTAGGCTAATAATCTTCTAGTTATAGTTCTCAAACATTACACTTTCACAAAATCATTTTTCATGCGTTTTTCTAGGAGAAAAAAAGCACAGAAATTATGCATTTGCTAGCGGTTAACAATTTATACTCAATTTTTTACTCATTTTCCAATTCAAATGTATTTTCGAATTAATTACTATAATCTATTCCATAACAAATAACTTAAAATAAAAATAATATAAAATATATTCCAAATCACACTTTTGAACAGTGTATAAGAATTGTTGAGTACAATATTTAAAAAAAAAGCTGAAAATTTTTCTCTTAGCCTAATGTACCAAATCCTCTTTTTTTAAAAATAAGTTTTAAAATAAGACATACTTGCAAAATCATTTAGTTGCAACATAATAATGCAAATCGCTTACACGATGTAATTAAAAAAAAAAGGAAAAACAATGAAGAGTCTATTACAATATTTGATTGATTGAAAAACAAAAATTTAAAAATTACAATTACAGTCCAATAAGGAAAGTTACTTATATTTTATTCTTAAAAATCCTAGTCAAATTCTTTCTTTTTCTTCTATTTTCCTTCTATTTTATTTTCCTTTTTTTTTGTTACTAACAAATGTGCAATATTCTATTCCTTATATATTATAATATTTAGTTTTTCTAATTCAAATTTATTCATAAATAAACATGATATTTGAAAACAAATTTATTATCAATTGATATAAATCAATTGTTTTAAATATTCTTTCATTTATTGTAGAATTATGTCTATAATATAACTGTCTGTACTACATATACATATATATGTAGTATATATTGAATAATTTGAATTATTACTAAAAATTTATAATAATCTTAACTCATTGTTTTTCATCATAATTAAGGCTTATTTATTGCACATTTTTTATATAAAATATTGACAAAAAGGTTTACATGACAATTATAGATATTATTAGAACAAACAAGAGCAATCAATAAATTAAAATATTAAGAGATATATCATAGAATTATATCACAAATATAGCTGCTTCATTTGTAAACAGTTTTTGAGATAGTACTAAACTATCATTTAGTCAAGGTAATATTGTAGATTTTACTATGTATTATCTCCCAGAACAATTACTTTATATTAAAGGTAGTAAATTTTAAATTTTACTTTAAATTACAGAAATACAAAATATAAATTCTTATACTTATGTAGTTTTTGAAATGTATTATGTAAACTAGATCAATTTTATTGATGAATCAGTTTTACTTGTATATAGAATGTTATGTAAAAGTATAAAAATATAGTACTCTCAAGAAGAGATTTTTTAATAAAAATAAATTTTTAATTTTTCCATCTAAAAGTTTATTTTAACTATTAGAAATAATATTATGAACTTAACAAAAAATAATTTTCAAACACACATATCTGCTCATGCATTATAATAATTTAAGTAACTTTAATATTACTGTAATTTCTACTTGACAAAATTATTGAAAAGTAATGAATATAAATTTTAACTTTTTTTTATATATAAATATCTGTTCGCTTCATTCTCCAAATATATCATGAATTTTACATTTACATTTTGTATCTTTTATTATATTGTACAATTTAACATTTGTTCAAGCGTAATTCATTAGGAAAAATATAAATAATAATAATAAAAATTAATTAAGTCAGTTAAATATGTTACACCATTATGGATTATCAAATTGCACTTTGTGTTACTTTTTATTATTTAAATATATTCTACCTGCAAGACAATCGATGCTATGTATTCATATTTAGTAATATTTAAAAAATTTTAATGCCATTGAAAAGTAAACTGTATGAATGTACATTTCCTATATAAAAAGCAATTATAATTTATTAAAAAATTTCGCAAAATTGCGGCGTAATCTCTATAATGTCTTTGTAATCCTTATGATGTATTATAATGAAATATAATTTATTATTACGAAAAGTAGAATTCAAAAATTTTACAATAATCAATTCTTTTACATATACATCTCTGCTTTTGTCAATTGTTTATAAATATAAATATAACAAGTTTGTATAAATGTGAGTTTCACAAACTCTTTTTAATTGACATGGATTATAAGGTCATGGTAGTGCCTTTCATTTAATATCATTTTTATATATATTTACAAAATATATAATTTTTATCAATTTATATCCAAAATAATTTGATCGTATCGTTCTGACTTACATGAAGAGAGTAAGAATGTATTAAATTTTTTTTATACTTATTTGTAATTTTTTATACTGTAACTTTTATGTACAATTTACTTCTTATGTAATACCTTAAGACTTTATGTGAGAATGTAAAATATTATTTTATAGGATATTTTTTCAAGTAAATTCTTATTTTTTTTCTATAATGAAGTTTTAACATTTAAATAAATTTACGGCACTTAAACAGTCTTTAAGGATAATTAGCATTATGTCTTTTCATTCCTTTTAATTTCGTGATTATATAACTTGTATATAAATAACAGACTTGTACATATCAATATTATTTTTTTATATAGCCTATCTTTTTAGAAGAAAATACTATAAGTTAAGGATCCATTTGACGAACTATTATCTTTTGATGCTTTGTGTGAAATAATATATTCAAGCACTTAAAAACTAATATATCACTATGTAAAAATAGGAATGCATGGATAGCCATCATGCAGAACTTTCTTAAATAATTAAATTCGTTACTTTCAAGAGAGAATAATAGCCAGACAACATCTCTTTAAGATTTACAAAATTAAATTTGATTAAAAATATAAACTTTACAAATTGGAATGAAATGTTAACAGTCTATGAAATGTCAGTGATTAGAATTGTTATAATTGTGCGCCAAGTCAGTGCATGCTATCATTCCAGATTTAATATATATCTAAAATATAAGATTCGAATTACTTTCATCTCTAAATTTCATATAATAAATAATTATAAAAATATCGGATTTTTTCGAGTATCTTATCAAAAGTTTATCGTTCACGAAATATATTCTTAATACACATATGTTTCAGATCTTTCTTTCTTTTTTAAAATATATAAAAAAATTCGAGATGAGCACGGAATATTTTAAATACAGTTACAAAATATTTAATGCTTCTTTTTTCCTATGTAAATTGATCATTGAACTGACAGCCAGAATTATTGGAATATTGATGTTCAATATGTCGACGGAAACAGAATTAAAATTCTTCTCGTAATCATGTTGAATTGTGAAACGAGATGAATGATCGTTCGACACGAGGATGAAATTCCTGCTGTTAAAATATTACACACTCACAGCACTGCTGCGTGAAGTATATACAATCTACAACGCAGGAGTCGTTTTCAGGCTGAGTGACTGGTTTAGTTGCCTCCGAGTCAATCCCGTTCCTCTCGATTTTCGGCTGTGGTTCAGGCACTGGCAGCACGGTCTGCGTGATCGGCACTGCATTCTCAATCATCTCGGTATCGGTGTCAACGTTCAACAATTTATTTGTCACCGGAGTAGTAGGTGTGGTCGGTGTGATTTTACCAGGACGCGCTTCATCTGGTATGTCGTAGTCTACCAAAGGTATAGAAGTCTGCAGCGGTGGGGGTGAATCGTTCGACATGATGACACTGAAATGAAACTTTCTTTAGATTCAGATTTAGATTCTTTTCGATTTCTATTTCAACCTAAATCTCTCGCTTTGATCCTGGAACGACACATTATATTTTTCTACTTTAACTACTACCGCTACAGTCGGGTCTTTTAGATTTGTATGTACCTGATAAATAAACACGTGAAAAGTTTAGAAAATTTTTACTGAAATATGCATAGCTTAAGATTCAGAAGTACAAATATTAAAAAGAAACTTTATAATTATTTTGCAACTCAAGGCTACTGGCTAAACATCCTGTTTAGGTCATGAAAAACACCAACGTGCAATTCCAAGATTGCTTCTACATAAAATCAAGCATTTCTCGATATGGAGAAAACGTTTCAAATGAAATGTTCTAAAATTCTGTCCATTCGCATATTTCCATCTCTATGTGTAAGAAATTGTGTTGCACAAAATGTGAGATTTACAAGTTTTGATCAACCTTATAGATTTTGGAAAACGATGCTTGGCGTATAAGATGTAAAGATTAGCAGGGCTAATGTAAAGAGCTGTATGAAAGAACCAGAAAGGTATGTTATGCATTAATGATTTTCATAAATTAAATTCAAATAATACATCGGGTCAGTTGATCTGGTCAACTAGTGCCTCCGTTATTCAAGCTTGTCACGCAGTTGACCCTGGTCTTTTTACTATTCAGCTCAAGTTAGTCTTGCTCGTGCTTATCGCAAACGCACCTAAAAAATCATTACTTAACTCGAACGGTTGAATGCTTGTTTTCCTTAACGAATCGTATGAATTTACTCTTTGCTTGCCTTGTGATTTACTGTGACAAGACAATTACTACTTATACAAATTTTGGCACATGATACTATAATATACACGTAAACTTAGCACTGTGTGATTATTGGAATTTGTTTAAAAATGTTTATGAACGACGACAGTACAGACGAGTACATCTTTTCATCGGACAGGCCACAAAGGGATTTCTATTTTTTCTTTTTTCCTCCGCCCCTCCCCCCTCTCCACCTCTTCTGTTTAAGTAATTTGATAGAAAGTGTAAAGAAGAAGACGTACCACCTAGCTCTCATACACGGTTGCATTCTACTCTTTTCTTCGGACGTCAGAGTCGAATAAAATGATATTTGCTTGGCCATTTTGCGGGTATTTCGTGGATTTCGGCCGATTAGAATCATGCCATTTCACATAAGAATTTTTCTCGCCGCTTCGGGAATCTGTCTTTCCTTTTCCATCAACGCTGCGAGCAAAGCGTCGCGTCTCTCCTCCTGTTTTATATACCAAGTTTCACATGTCACTGATCACACTTCATCGATTATCGATTTCTCGATCCGACTTCAAAGTCAAATTTTACATGTCGCGGTTAAACGCGCGATATTTGAATGGATCGCGACAAGAGGAACAACTGAAGAGAAAATATTGTTGAAACGAATTTTCGGACTTTTGTTAATTGATCTACAAAGTAAAAAGGAATTATTTTTTTTTATGAGAGTTGCCACTTCGAGAAAGAAAGACACTTTTGCAAATATTTGCGACTAATCGAGGCCGGTAATAGTGGTAACAACTTCTACCAACCAACTGCATGCATTGAAACATATTTGCTTGTAATGAAACGACCGAGCTTTATACACGTACAAATTCATTTTCACACACAAAAGAAGCACAAAATTAGAAATCGTTTCGTAATCGAAATTGTTACAATTCTGATCTACATTAAACGAAAAATGAAGAATTAAAAGATTATGTTCATGCACACGTGAGATTACCAACTTGTAACATTTGCACGCGCTTGAAGATTCACAAGAGCAAAGTACACTTTTACAAGAAAAAAAAAAGAAGACAGACATAAAAAGACGTTACATCACGAAATAAACACTCGTTGAAACGAATAAATAACAGAAGTGTAGTTTCATTAGCATAATTAAAACAATTTGCTGTATCTCAATCGGTTGATCGTTTCTTTCTCATTGTCAGTTGCGTGTAGAAACAATCGACGAAAATCCAGTTCTACTTACGATAGCTCGATAACATCGATAGTTATCTCGATACTCGAACCGCTCTATTGTTCGTTAACCGGAACGAGAGTTCGTTATTAGCACGATTTCTTTATACGAGATTCTAAGAATGGAAACTGAAAGAAGTGAGAAATAGAGGAATTAAAAAGAAACATTTCAGTTACAAACAGCTAACAATAAGAAGTAAACTATTTTTAAGCTCTAATTGAACTGCCACAACACCGAGAGTTACACAGCAAATTGTGAACCTGTTTTTCTTCCCCTCTGTGTCACTAGCAACTTATGCAAGAGATTGATATAATCAAAGACAATAGAGATTAAAGAGGAGAATTAGTTCGTCTTTGCAAAAAAAAAAAAATTCATTCACAAAGTCATTCACAAATAACATCAAATTTCACGTTTATATACACGTATTCGAGATCAGTCACTGGCGCAAGCGACAATTGCACCTATATTATTTGCACGGATAAAGTTATTAGAATTTTATCAATACACTATATATATGTGTAAAAAATTATTTGTCATGAGTAATAAAAATACACCGCGATGACACGAACGAGCTCGTGTCACGTTTGAGAATCCACGTTGAACTGCTCGATCTTTCTCCTAATACTCTCCCATCCCGCGTGTATACACAGTAGTGCTGCGTTAAATGGTCGGAATTCTGCTTCGTTAAGCGGCCATTTCTATCCCCGAAGCATCGTGTCATGTATACATATAAGTACGATAAACAAATGTGTCAGGTATCGATATATATCAGTGTTGTTCAATAAAAAAAAAAGGAGAGATACTCGATATTTTCTCAAGACATGCATCCCTCGATCGAACCAGTCAAGATCCAACTTGTGGCCAGTTAGCGAAGCAGTACCGTGCGTGTACACCGTCAGGTATAAAAGTTTACATTGAACTTTGTATCACGCTTATTAAAAGAAACTAGGGAACGTGCTCTCTTTTGCAGAATTTCTATTACATTTACATTTAAGCGAAGCGGTAAAAAAATTGTTGGATAAAAGAATCTTTGTCACAAATAATATTTCAAATTAAAGAGTAAACGGGGACTTTTACGTCTGGCTGTACTTTTCGTGTGAACCGCAGAGGACCGTATTCTCCAACGAAAATCACTCCCACTTCTAACCTATGGTTGTAAAAACGATCCATGTATAGAAATTCAAAGAAACAGCGCGTGTAATAGAACGTATAATTTCTTTCCAATAGTAAATTAACAAATCAGATAATAACATATCTTACGAGTATATTACGTTCGTTTGAGTATTTTCAAGTAAAATTCCCCGATATATGATACGGCACAACAATATCTGTAAAGTAAAAGGATCTTATTGGGGACAACTTAAAAAGAATGTCCGCTGAATGAAAGTTTCACAAAACCGCAGGCGGGATTAGTATCACTTTTCAGAAATTGCGCAAGCAAAAATTTTATTATTAGAATTGTGGAAATATAAGGAATAAACAAAATTATTCGGGTTTCAGATATTGGTCGCACAGTTGGAACTAATTATTTCTTACGATACGATGTTTACATACGAAGGCTACGCGGTGCTCAATTATATGTAATGAAGAAAATTATTTCCAAGTCGAACTGCATTGATTATGAGTATATTACGAGTTCGATAGTATTAGGCTCAAAATATGCAATTTTGTTAACACTGTTACAATCCCCAGAACTTTCATAGTTGCAATTGAAAGTCACTTATCTCATTGCTATTGCGAAGGACAATTCACTTACTGAAGTTAGATTTCTCTACGATTACCTACAAGCGGATACCAATCTTCTAAAAATCATCTATAAACGATAATGTAAGATCGATCAAAATTATCCTTAAAAACATAAAATTCAGATTCCGGAATTTCTCGGAGGAGAAAAACGTAGGAGAATAAAATCGACGAGTAAACGAGCAAATGCAGGAAAGTTTCGAAGTAGAATCGACGGAACGGTGAAGAAAGCAAAAGAATGAGAGAGAAACAGAGTTGAGATCGGCTAGGAGAGAACGACAAAGGGTGAGAAAAGAAATGCTTAACCTCGAAATCTGGCGAATCGGCGGCTTTTGCTGAACTTACTCGTAAGAGCCACGCTGTGGCAACGGATTCTTAAAACGCATAACTTCGTGATCAACGGGACAATTATCGTAACGTATTTTCGCTTGATTACGGTTGTTTACATTCACAAATGACCGTACGCGGGGCCGAAATTACGTAGCATCTCAATTTCGACGAACAACGAGCACGCAGCACACGAAAGACTGGCAAGAGACAAGCGAAGCACCGTACGAGCTAAAGGGGGAGCAGGTGAGGTAGAGACGAAACTTGCCGGGTGAATGGCGCACAGTGGGGTATTTGCACTGGAACATTGGACGAGATTATTTCATATTAATTATCGTTATATCGTTATGTCATCTTGACAAAGGTCAAACGATTTAGCATCGCGCATCATTCTAGCATCGTCGATTTATTTCGCGAAAGAGTTATGCGATATAACTGCTAACTTTCAAAGTATCGCGTTACATTGGAAATTCCTTAACGATGCACGATTTTGAAAAAAATTTCGCCGACGAAGCAAATTTGAAAAATTGCTAGTAATAATTGCCAAATGACTTTCCAGTAACTGCGAAAATTATGAATTTCTATTCGAAATGAACATTCTATCATTTATCGATAATTGCAAAAAAATTATCTATTTATTCGGTTAATATGGCATTAAGTAAGGTTTGTGAGATTATTGACTCGTGCATCATGCACGATTGGACATAATTATCGTGGATAACATCTAATTATTACGCAACACGAATATAATAATTTTATTTTTGAAAGTTATTTTCAACGCGAAATATTATGACATAGTAATGTTACTTTCAGTGTATTATTTAATATATACATTACGTTCTTTGTTCTCCTCCTCAAAATATTTCTTTATTTCTATTATACACTGTATTTCAGTGCAAAATCTTTTTATATTAATATATTAATATAATTTAACGACTAAAAATATATTATAAATACAATTCAAAATACAAACGAATACGTATTAGTCGAAACTGATGCACCCTTCTCCTTGTCACTATATTCCCACTGCTTAATATATTAAGGACCGGATGTATTTTTACCATCGTTAATTTTTTTCTCTCATGTATCGTTACGAAGTTCCTTATTAACATTATATGAAACTTATTAGAAAAATATTAAAAGCTACTGAAGATAATTATTTACAGTAATAAACTATCTCCTAATCTCTTTTTTTTCTTTCTATCTTTCTCCCCTCAGAACTGTTATAATTCAAAGTGAAGCTATTTCTGGACTTTTACATAAACAGAGATAATAATATATCAATTTTATCGTACTTTGCAAATATAACGTATATTGCGTATAATTATCATTAACTTTTTTCCTGATACATATAATGAGATTTCGCCGAGGGACGTTCTCTTCAGTTAGTCTTATATCTTTTAATGTATGTATGTATAAGCAAGCCTACGTAAAACCGGTTTTAAAACAGAATGGACACAGAAAAAAATGAAACCTCTCGTGTCAATAGTTTTCGGGAAAAAATTTACTAGATGATAATTCCAACCTTGTACAATGTAAATACGTACGATTAAATAACATAATTATTCAATATTTCGTATTGCCAAGAAGTTTTCCAGAAATATTTTTAAAAACTATGTTTTTCAACGTACGTTTAAAGATGAACATAAAATGTTGATAGATATTTAAATATGTATTACTTTTGATCCAATATATACACTAGATACATTTGTACATCTGCACGTATGTATCTATGTAGATATATATACGTACATCATAAACTTTGATTTTTCTTCATTTCCATGAAAAACTAGAAATTGTAGATGTTATGTCTGAAAACGAATGTCATGTCTGAAAGTACAGTATTAACACGTGTTACTGACGCGCACACACACACACTTATTTCTTTTACCTTCAAAGATGACAGATTAAATTACATCTTTACCTTCGTGGAAGTCACTCGACACCACAAAGCGTTTGACACGAGATATTAAGATTCGATGAAAAGAGAGTGTTAAACACTGATTCGTACGAATTTTGCATGCACGTTACATCAGTATTACTACAAGCAATTATCTAATATCAATAAATTACGAAGAGCCACTATTTTGGTTCTAGTACTTGTAATATTTATGTAATACCTAATACCCCATACTTTGAATATTTTTTATATTATCCCGTTTTTTTGTAGATTAGATTAAACAAATCCACTGTCTACTGATCATCTTGAGCAGTCTCACATTAGTAGATTAGAGATTAACGTATATACAACTATGTACATGAATATTAGTTGCATTTACGTACAGATCAGAACGTTGATTGAGAAAGTAAAGAAATATATTCGTCAGATAGAATGTCTTCAAATCCAACGTAGTACGTTTTCATAAATATTCGAGATGTTTGATAAAATCACTGTCCAAGATAAGCGTAATTACACAAACACTCTAATCGCAAATAAACGTGCGAGTTTAAAGAGACTCGGCAGCGGCCTATTTCGACGACAATTGTGCAAGTGTTAACGACACGACCTCTAGTATCCCAAGGAAAATAGATTAGAATGCTATTTTCTCGATTATTTGTTTCAAGAAATAGAAAAAAAATTTTACCTGTCAGATGTGCAAGGAATCTCTTCCGCGTAAACATCAGCACGTGTGGTTATCGTCCCGTTTCTCATCGTATCGCGGTTGTCGCATGACAAGAAAGGAAGTCAACGTTCGATCTTGAAAAATTTTTTGAAAAGTTGACGGCTCAACAATTTCTCATTGCGTAATTCATTTCATGATATCATCTCGTCGCTTTGGGATCGTTAAATCATTCGATTCTCGCTATGCGTTCGACGGTTCGTCTCGCGTGCGTTCATCACCCTTGTCCTTAGTACTTTCTCATTGTCACATCTTTTTCCCCACTTAGAGTACGTCCTGTCATAGATATATTTTGTTTGAAATGTCAAGTCACGTATAAAATGCAAATTGTTAGAGAATTGTGAATTGTACTTTGACCAAGGGGGATGTATCTCAATACCTCGAACGAAATGAACGAAATATTTTTGTTACGAAGGCTACAATTAAAAATTACTTTGAATCCTACTGCGCGATAACAATGCACGAAATGATTCTAACCTCTCCTCACGTTTCAGTAGCTCAAGACCGACTGATGGAACATGTTCCGTCTTGAAGAGCCATCATACACAATTGGTATAAAAGAGTAGAAACATGGTTGACTATCTGGCTTCACGTATTAATTTGTAATATTTTCTTTTTTTACCTTGCGAAACAAAATTTCTAAGAAAAATTTCCTGGAATACGTTTAAAATAATAAATTTATAATAAAATTTCATTCAAATCTACTTTAGTCCTAGAATCAGTATATTTTAATATCATTTTTGTTTCAACGCAATATAGTTAACTTTTTGCAACTGTATAGTCAGAAATCAACAGTCAATTGACTAGGTCTTCTTAACGCTTCAAATTTCAATTTTTTCATGAGATAATTCGCAAAAATTAGAATCGTTAGAAAAAACAATGTTGTGACTGCTACGCATGCGTACAAAGTATTTCAACAGCGTCGTCTTTTCTTGTGATTTATGTAGTTCATGGTTGAGAAACCGCTTTCATTTACGTCTTTTGATTGGAATTATATTTTATAACTTTCGTGGTATTTCGCCTGTTTTTTTTGCGTTTCGATCATTATTATTAGTGATACAGCATCGCAGTAAAAAAGAGAGAGAGAACTAAGAAAAAGTTAAACATGGGACGTTATAGAAGGTAAGCTATGTGTATATGTAGGTAGATGAAAATATATGTTATCAATATGTTCGATGCTCAGCGTTGATATCGCGTATTTGAAATAAATGCAGTTGAACTGCGGCTATTTGTTCCACGAAACAAAACAGAATTACATTCAGGATAAAGAAGCGAAAAACAAAAAGTAATTAATGAGAAATTCTTTTTGGCATTTGTCACATATCTGTGACAATTATAACCTTCCGCGCGTTTTCAGTACAGGCTTGGCAAACATTTAGCAGTTTGTACATACATGAATTTCCACGAAATGAACAGTAAGATTGAAATTTTTCGTCATAGATTTTTTTTATATATTTTGGAAATAATATATAAATTGAATGAGAATTAAAAATTAATAAAAAAAAAATTTGTATTTTTACTTTTGTAAGTTAGTACAAATTTTGCTTGAAAGGTGAATTCTATGAAGACAAGGCAGTAAGATTTATATTTCAGTATTAATAACTTTGTATGTTTCATTTTTCAGTCGCAGTCGTGATAGGGATAGGAGACGTAGATCACGCAGTAGGTCTCGTAGCAGATCACCTAGAGACAGAAGGAATTGGGGTGGCAGTGGAGGTAGAGACCGAGGTGGCGGCAGAAATAGTCGTGGCCAACCTGGTGCAAATTTAAGAAAGCCTAGATGGGACTTAAGTCGATTAGAACCTTTCAAAAAAGATTTTTACGTACCACATGAAGCAGTTCAGAATCGAGATCCACGTATAGTTGAACAATATAGAAGTGAAAAAGAAATCACCCTTAAAGGAAAAAATATACCTAATCCTGTATTCACATTTGAAGAGACAGGTTTTCCGGACTATGTCCTGAAAGAAATTAAGTAAGTATCTCTCAGATGACAATTTGGTCTAAGATAAAAGCGCTTCAAGTATATTAACAGCTATGCAATTATTTTACAATGGTGATGTTAGAATTTATTTCTTAAGTTTAGAACAAGTATCCAGTATGTGATGACATGTTGTTCATTGTCAAGAACACTATCAGAACTTAAAACTTGCTTATTCTGGAAACTTTACTTTCATCAGATCAGAAGTAAGAACAGAGCTGAAATTGTTAGGATTTCAAGTTAATAAGAAAAAAAGTAATAAAGAATTAAAATTGATTAAAATCGAAGAGCTGCTGAAAATTTTGAATTGTGATGCTATATATTACAGAATGTGATCTATTTGATATGATAGATTGTCATAAACATGTTGTTATTTATAATTTTCAGGCGACAAGGTTTTACTGAACCGACATCGATACAAGCACAGGGATGGCCAATTGCTTTAAGCGGTAGGGACATGGTTGGGATTGCATCGACGGGTTCTGGAAAAACATTGTCTTACATACTTCCAGCAATCGTTCACATTAATAGCCAGCCTAAGTTAGGTCGAAAAGATGGACCTATTGCTTTAGTGCTAGCGCCAACACGAGAACTTGCGCAACAAATTCAACAAGTTGCCGATGATTTTGGTCATTCCTCTGGTATTAGAAACACTTGTTTATATGGTGGAGCACCAAAAGGTGCACAGGCCAGAGATTTAGATGGTGGTGTGGAAATCGTTATAGCTACACCTGGTAGACTGTTGGATTTCCTTGAATCGGGACGTACAAACCTAAAAAGATGTACTTATTTAGTGTTGGATGAAGCAGATAGAATGTTAGATATGGGATTTGAGCCGCAAATTAGAAAAATCATAGAGCAAATTAGACCAGATAGACAAACACTAATGTGGTCTGCTACATGGCCCAAGGAAGTAAAAAATTTAGCTGAAGATTTTCTGAAAGATTATGCTCAAATTAATGTTGGGTCTCTGCAATTAGCTGCAAATCATAATATTTTGCAAATCATCGATGTGTGTCAAGATTACGAAAAAGAAAATAAGTAAGAGATTATATTTGTCGAGAAAATTGTCGAAAAATTTGATCTTATTACTAATTTAATTTGCAATTATAGATTAAGCACACTTTTGAAAGAAATAATGGCGGAAAGTGAAAACAAAACCATAGTATTTATTGAAACAAAACGCAGAGTGGATGAAATAACAAGAAAAATGAAGAGAGATGGTTGGCCAGCTGTTTGTATACATGGTGACAAGACACAACAAGAAAGAGATTGGGTTTTACAAGGTAAAAATTGTAAATTATACATTGATAAATATTTTAAAAAATAGTTGACACCAATTTTTCTGTTTCAATTTTTTAGATTTTAGATCAGGAAAAGCGCCAATTCTTGTCGCAACAGATGTTGCTGCTCGAGGTCTTGGTAAGTAAACAATTGTTATTATGATATAATAAAATATCAAATATCATTGATCATTTTCCTTTGATATGGAGAATGAATCACATTTCTACCAGTGAGCTTAATTATTGCAGTATACGAGATATCTTGTTCTGATATAACATTAAAATTATAGTTACCAAATGAAGAATATGATAAATTTGTTAACTGGATCTAGAAAAAATTATTCTACAAGACATTAGAACTTTTTAATACTTTTCACTTGTCTCATGTATATGACAATCAGAACAAGGTTTCATTTGATTTGTATTTGTACCACTTTATGATTGGAAACAAGATAACTAAATTTTTTTTACTAATTTATCGATAATATAAACTATATAAATTTTTCAAAATTTTAGATATGAAAAAATTTTATCGTTGCATATAAATTAATAGATGTGTACATGTATAGCATACATAAAAATGCATAACGTGGTTCATTCAGCATTTCTAATCTTTGTGTTTATTTGCTTCCTCACTTTTTGCTAAAGGTAATAATTTTTAAATAATACATGAGAATGGTCGTAAAGATAAGTTGAAATTGATGTACTCGGCAAGCTCTTGATTTATAAAGGTACAGAAGCAGTTGATCTAGTTACAGAGAAAAACATGAATTGTAAAATTCAAAAGCAAAATAATTGCAGTTTCTAGTGAAGACATAAAGGTGTTGCTTTCTTAAAAAAATCGCATAACTTCATAAAGTACTGATGCACCATTTTACGTTGCTACATTTACAATGTAATTATTACTTGAACTTAGGGTTAATCTGACCAAATTATTCTACGCTTGCCGAAAGTCACAGATGAACAAATAGAAGTTTAGAGATATTCTTTTCCCATAAAATATCGCCTTCATTGAGATTATCAGAGTTCTGTTAATGAGAATTGACAAAAAGAAATAGAATAGAAAAAGAAAAAAACTAGAAAACAAAAAAAAAATACTGTAATACAAAATTCATATTGAACACAGGAAAGTAATGAGATAAACATGTACCTAACGCGGTTGGATCTTTGTTTGTATTGCAGAGGCACATTGCGCGCAGACCCACGCCGGGTAATGCAAAGCAAATTGGGGGTGCCCGCCGCGTGTTTGTTCGGTGGTGCACTGGTTTGCATTGTCTGCGCTGGCTGCGACGCGTGCCTCTAATCGTCAATTCCGTGAAAGGCCAGTCCGGGCCAAATCGGGGTCTACTTTACCTCCTACATACTGGATATCAGTTCTACGCTACGCTGTACGCCATCTGGGCTGGCCAAGTCGTTGTTGCCAGAATAGAATCCCCTGCGCTGGCCGCTCAAGCTAATCAGACCCAACAACGGTCCATTGAGGCGGTGGCATGGTAGCTGATGCCAGAGCCTCTAAGTGTGCCCTGTAGCAACAGAATGGCGGAGGCTGTAGCTGGAGCGAGCGCAAACAGCCAGGCCCTGCCCGTACGTTGCTAGCGACACTCACCCACTGCCTAATTTTAGTATAACAGTAATCTTAAATTAATTGCTATATATATATAGCTGTATAAACCGCCCAGAAAAAAGGTAATTTGACTGTATAACATTCTCCTTCCAATGAAATCTAAGATAATTTTTTATTAAAGGAAAATCTCGCTCGATACGAAAATGTTGTGTAATTATTAACTTAGAAAGTATCTAATTATATATATATATATAACAATTAAAAATTGTAATCGTACTTGAATTATTTACCTATCTGAAAATTTGTCGCAAGTAAGTTTGAAGTAATTCCAGTTGAATGTCTTCTTCGTTAAGAATTGCCCAACATTTCATTTAATCAAAAATGTCTTGATTTCCCAAAAAGGTGTAGTACAGTTCAAATATATTTTCCTGGGGGTCTCAATATGTACACTTTTTACATATACATATGTAACAAAATGTTTTGTAAAATGTGACGTACTGGAGCGTATAAAAAATTCTTGAATTAAAAAGAAGTCAATTCTTGGTGTCTCTTTGTGATCATTATTCACCAACTTTATATACAGTACAGTAAAATTTTCAGAAATTATTTTATACTTTAAATTATCTGTAAAATTTAGAAAGTTGTTGATTAATGGTCCATACAATATTGCCAAGAACTGTCTTGTTCTTTTTTAATTCAAGAATATTTTGAATATTTTATAAAACATTCTGTACGTGTATGTATATATTTACGTAAATCTCTATATACATACACACATGTATCACTCTTATGTCCATTTGAATTTACATTTCCTTTATCCTTCTGAATCCTTTATGATAACTATGTCATTTTACATATTCACATTATACTAACTATCATATCAAATAAGGTTTTATGTATATCAATTCTGGTTTCATTTTACTTGAGTATTTATATCCATTATATATATAAATCTACAATATTTATTGTAACAATGAATCAGTGGATATTTCAAATCAGGTATCTTCGTGAAATTGAGCAAGTACTAATTTTTTACATATTAGAAGAAATGATATTTTTATTAAAAAAGGAAACCAGGATTGATTTTGCGCGGAAATTTATTTCAGCACTTTATACTTAGTCAAAACGCTCTCTAAAGACATAGTATTCTTTCTCGTTTCTTTAAATTTCGTTTTATGGTATTATTTGAACAAACAAATATTTATCCTCGAGAAACCATTAAATGAAATGCTTTATAAGTCTTTTTTTCTGTGTATGTGTTTCTTCTTTTTTTTTCTCTCTCTTTTATGTACCTGTATATTAAAACTTGCTTACAATACACATAGTCAAATAAATTTATAAGATACTCTTAGTTGAGGTGACATAGGTGAATGATTGTAGTACTACCTTTTGGAGAGCGTATTTTAATCTAAACATTTCTTTGAAATAAGTGATTGAGATATTTAATATGACATTTTATATACGTTTTGCCATACTACTATCTTAACTGATGTCTGTCCGGAAGGCGGATGCCATTGGCGATTAACAGCTAATACATATGCTTTATTTCAGACGTTGAAGACGTCAAGTTTGTCATCAATTTTGACTATCCCTCCTGTTCGGAGGATTACGTTCATCGAATCGGTCGAACAGGTCGTCGCCAAAAAACTGGTACAGCATATACCTTTTTTACACCTAATAATTCAAATAAGGCTAACGACCTGATCCAGGTATTGAAAGAAGCAAATCAAGTTATCAATCCAAAGCTATTGGAACTTGCTGATAGTAAGAGCGGTGGATATGGCAGACATAGAGGTACTTATCTATTCTTCATCTCATCAAAATCTTGCAACTCCCTTATTTGAGACTTCTCTCATCAAAATCTTCTATTATCCTTTATTTGAGACTTGTTTTATTCAATATTTCCAGCCTTAAGTGACATCTGGAAAATGTTAATTAATTAATTAATTAATTAATTGGATATTTTTAGGTGGAAGAAATAGATGGCGGTCTCGAGGTGGCCGAAACGGGAAAGATCGTAGCTATTCGAGAAGTAGAAGTCGAAGTCACAGTAGGGAACACAATGGTCGTAGTAATCGTCGCAGTTACAGCCGAAGTTACTCTCGAAGTCGTAGTCCTGTTAACAATCGTACAGGTAAGTAACGGTATGTTCGCATTGTGCTAAATTGCATCTGTATGTCTGTATGGAACTCAAAATGGAACAATTTCTCAAATTTTATATTGTGTAAAAAGATTTGTATGTTTATAGAAGTAATCGGTAAGAGCTATTGGAGCAGCGAGAGATGATCTTCCACGAACAGTTAAGGACCAAATCAATGTAATATGTAATAATTTTCTTTTTTTTTTTTTCTATGTCTCTTAAAAGTATTCACTTAATATGTACACGTCGTATGTATAAATTATAACTTTGGTGTTCCAAACCGATGTATACGTTGCGTGACGTATTTATGTATGATAATACTTGTGCATTACAGGTAAATCACGTTAGAAATGTATGGTGAATGTTTTTCAATAAGCGAGTACACATCTTTAAATTATATATAACAGAATGGTTAGTTGAACACGGTGTAACATGTACTAAAGTATATTTTAAATGAACTTGAGAGATCAATTAACGAATCAACTGATATTGAGATTTATCGAGTAATTGTAAAAATTAGGATACAAAGTGATTTCGATGTTTTCCGAATATTTCTACGTTTATAGAGCGTTTTCTTGCTAAGTTTACGTCCTGAACTTCAACCACAAAACAGATAAACTTAGGGTAAGAATGTAGTTACATTCACACATTGTGTGTATCACGTACATGTTTTATAATGATTGTTGCAGCATCCGATAATACAAGTTAGTTTTATGTAAGCGGTATTGTGAGTTTAATTAGATGAATTACCTAAATGATCCAAATGATTCCACGATTTTATCATTAACCCGGCGATCAATTGTAGACACGTAGTGCTTACTGGCAATTACATGTATTCGCGCATTTAAAATTGATGAAGTAATGTACAGTATTTAATAACGGTGTAATAAATGAATTTATTAACTATTTAAGAATCCGTTCGTTGGCTTTTCTTTCGTCTTGTTCTTCTGTTTCTTCTTTTTTCTTTTTCTCCAAGAGAAAAATTTTCCTCCATTGAAATATCCCAAAAGTTTCATTGTCAAAGCGATCAAAGAGCACCACATTGAAATATACCATGCCACGTTTCTTCTCATCAAACAGTTAGAAAATAATAGCCACCGTCAAACGCACGGTTCTTTCCTCAAACATCAAAAATCAAACTAAACGAAATGTCAAAGCAAAATGTCAAAGAAATCATTCGTATTGGTCGTAGACTCTCAGGCACGTGTTGTTTCCTTTTCTTTCATTTTGTTCATCAATTCCACCGTTTACAAAGGAGGTGAGAGCATAAAAGTTGTTCGGCAAAGTATACAATAAGATAAAAATTGTTTTGTACAAAGTATACAATAAAAATATAATGAAGTGTGTAACAAAATAAACATTTGTTCGACAGAGAGGAAGAACAGACAGCAATCCCCCGGAGGGGAGAGCAGCCAAAGATTTATGAATGAACTGTAATACAGGTGGATGGGTCGATAGAGCGGCCCCCCGCGAGATCGCACGGCAAGGGCGTAGTAATCGATAGAGTGAGGGTGAGAAGGGATAGAAGCCGGCACCGTCGAAGCAGACGAAGAACGGCAGAGGCCGTGGAGGGCAGAGTCCATTCAGTAGAAGGCGGCAAGGCTGCTATTGATTGCGTGGGTGGTCAGAGGAGAGATGAGTTTACCCCCACCTTCGGCCATTCAGCAGCCGCACTGCCGGTGACACGGGGGTTAGGCGGAGGGGAAGGGGCCTTGAAAGATCCGAGGGGGGAGAGCCAGAGCGAAGAAGAGGGAACGATAGCCCGATTACTGGAATGCCGTGGGTGGCTAACAAGGGAGAGAGAGGGGGGGTTCCACCTCTGTCTTCGATCATACACGCGAATGTAGGCACAACCACTTTGCCCTAAAATTGACATTTACCCCCCTAAAAGTCCTTTGCTGAAAGTTCACGCTTTACGTGTTTGTTTTTTTTTTCCTCTCTTTCTTTCTCTCTCTCTCTCTCTCTCGCTTTGTCCCGACGAGACTCTCCACTCGCTATTTCGGATGATTGATGAACCACGTGAAAAGTCAAAAGTCTAAATACATGCTTTCGAAAATTCCGACATTTCGACGATCTGGTAATTTAATTTTGCCACTCGCTGCGTAATTCGGAATTATTGCTTATCTTTATCGGTCGGGGGGACTGTCGATGTCGTTGGAAGACTAAAAAGCCATTGTTCGCGTTGATTATTTCATTACGATAAGGCCGGGCTTCTACGGAGCACAATAATGGTTCTTCATCGAGATACGAATAAGAAATGTGAACGCCGCCGATGGTGAAATATCGCCAACGGGTTTCTTTGTCTTCCAGTTTCATTGGATTTTAGATCTCTGGCTACAATGAAAAATACATTCGCGTGATAAAGACAGCAAAATACTCGCTCTGAATATGCGAAATGTGTACGTACCTAGTAGCGTGGCATCAAGGAGTTTGGTCTTGCGCTAGTCAGCCACGAACTCGTTCTCAAGCGAGTGCACATCTGAAATCGTTTCATGATAATTTCATAAACTTAACGAACAGAAACTTTTTAAAATGGACTTGATCAACATGTTAAAGTGTCTTTGCTCTACGTAAATTTAGATGTGTTTGACAAAATCGAACAAATAAAAAATAAACGAGACACATCGATTTTTCATTCGGTTCGTTCGATAGAGCCTCAATATTGAAAAAGTTCAATATTAATTTGTTCAACAGATTCAACAACCATTGTGACGCAACTGCTTCTGATTTAGGGTACGGGCTACAACGATTTTAAGTCCCAGGGAGAAACTTGTTGCGCAGGCGGACCGGAACTTAACGTAAGCTTGTTCGTGATCTGCTGTCCTAGCCCTACAACATTATAATCTTCGCGATAAATTTCTTTTTTTAAATAATTCACTTCTTTCGTAACGCTGCTCGAACATGCACCGAGTTCTGAGTGACACAAGAAAATTCAAAAGTCGCGTTACAATGCAATAAAATTGATACTATACAAGTACGACATTGAACAGTATTACATTCGAGGTTCAACTTTTGCTACTTTGTACAAAAATAATGAACAAGTGAAGAAGATATACAATTTACGTAGTGCATTTTAAACGATCATTCACTGAATATTCTGTTAATACCATCAGCTATTATCTTATAGCACAACAATTTATCTTGAAAGACAGAATAGACAAAAAGAAGCGTCGGATCAATTCAAAGGGAGAGCAATAAAGACCATAGCCTTATCTATAAGATTATAAAGAAAAGAAGGTAAATATAGGAAATACTAAGAAAATTCTTAGAAGGGAGCTTTTAGGAACAGCTAAATCTGTTCCGGCGAAAAGCTCCTTTTGGAGTACGAAGAGAACGGCAGAGAGAAGAACGAGAAGAGAGGAAAAGAGAGACGAAGCTTGACAGAGAGTCCGCGTAGAGGGGTTTGAAACGAACGAAGGGGTGTACTCTGAAAGAGAGGGGCAGCAAAGGAAGGCGAATAGTCGCCGCGGTGATACCACCTCTCTCAGTTGCTCCTCGGTTTCCGGACTGCGTGGATTGGCAGGTTAGTGAATCCAACTCTCGTTCATTCACCAGTTTCTCTTCGTTCCACTCTTGACCTCCTTCCTTCCTTGGTACTCTCTATGTTTCTCTGTCTCTCTCTCTCTCTCTCCCTCTCTTCTCTCTCTCTCTCCCTCTCTTTTCTCTCTCTCTTCTCACCCTCGTTTTCCACCCCGTGTGTCCGCCAGCGGCTCCATTCATGTGATTCGTTCTTTGCTCGCTCTCTCGTTCGCTGCTCTCCTTGATTTATCGAAGTTGCCAGTGAAAAACGTTCTTCCTTCGTAGTCTCGCTGCTCGATCACCGATCATCCTGTCAACGTGTATTAACGAACGAGTTAATCACAGGTATATCTCCGCTATCTTCTATTTTGATTTTTCATTTAATATCGTACCGGCGATAAACTGATTACTTTAGAAAAGTAATTGCACGATAGAAGAGTAATGTACGTGTGTGTAACACACAAAGCGACACACAGGTGAGATTACCTTAGCTAACGAATTCCTGCGTGTCTCTCCCTTTTTTAATTAGACCTAGCTCTGTAAATTCTTCGTCCCTCGGTCTTGTGATCAAAGTTTCTCAAAGTAACAAATCCGCTGGGATGAGATCGAGGATCATTTTCTACAGTTAATTACAGAGAGAAGGTAATTTTTCGTGTTTCGACCAGCCGCATTTGAAACACATTTGTTAAGGGAGAGAAACAGGATGAGCTGAGAGGATATATTCGAGAAACAGCTGTTAGAGCTGGTAATGAAAAGTGGCTGCTGCTGGATCCGCAGTCTTTTTCCTGCAAAAAGAAAAAAAATGTATGCAGTATATGCAGCAAACTGTCAGTAGTTTCAAGAAGAGTGTGTCATTTTGTTACCTGTCTATCTCTTTTAAAAATTAAGAGGAAAATACAGCCACGGGATACACGCGTAGAAACATGTACATAGAAATCAAATTACCCTTTCGTTTCGTGTCGTGTTCTTTCGTTTGAGCCTCTTCCACCATTTGTAACGTTTACGCTGAAAATATAAAGAGAGAAAAAAAGGAAAAAAATATGAAGAATGATTGAAAAGTAGTCTGTGTCTAGCATTAAGAACGGCTTTCGAATTTCCTTCGAGTTTCATCAACCGATCAAAGAGTCAATTGTCCTAGATAGTAGTAATTTAGTATTTCATGGAAAGTATATCTTTATACGTGCGTGTCTTTTGTACTTTGTAACTGAAGGAGCCGAGAAACAGTGAATATGAGAAGAAACAAAGGCACTCTGAATCATGGAATAATCGAACAATCATAGTTATTCAGATTGTTGTCGTTTTATGTATATTGTAAACCGTAGAAATGTCCAAAGGCGCACAGTGATGTAAGATTTATGCCGAAGAAAGGGAATGCAGTCACAATCAAGTGACGTAAAGGACGCCGATTCTACTGAAAGACAGTCGAAAGACCGTACTATTAAATAACTAATAACAATAACATAACGCGTAATGAACAGATTAATGACAATATGCAATAATTAAAACAAGAAGAGATCAGTTCAAATGTCTTTTTCAACTCACAAAGAGCTATCTGTTGCATACAATAGAATTGTACAAAACTGTGAATATTAAAAATAAAAAAAAATATATATATATTCCAATTTTTCTTTGCTAATTTACTGTAATTTGTATTATTCTTTTCGCAACTTTTTTGAAATCAAAATTGATCATTCTGATCAGAAAGGAATCATAAAAAGTGTTCGTAATTGTCAAGCGAAATTAAATTTAGAGGCTGACGATGGATCTCCCTCGTGCATTTAATTAACAAAGCTAAAGCTAGGGCGGGCTACCCTTAATCGAAATTCCATGGCAGGGATGATTCTAGTAATTATTTCGTCTAGCACGAAAGGAAGTTTAATAATTCACAGTCACTTATGAAAACTATGTCAATTTCGACCGTTCTTCGATCACTTTTCACAATGGATGCAATTATTTTAAAGAACCTCGATATACACGAAGACAAATCAATTGAGCAACATATCGAAAATACGAGCCTGTTTCGAAATCGTGCATTCGATGTAAAAAAAATTTTCTTTCGAGAGATGAGAAATTTGCTTGACGTTACGTTATGTAATCTCTCTGTTCTAGTCCTCCTTCTGCACCATAAATTTCACCTACTGTTTTCTTAATTCAATCAGCTCGTTTCTATTTAAAACACAGAATACTTTAGACACAGAGTATAAAACTCTGCTCGATTTGACACATTATTAAAATTCTAATACAATGCAAATTACTGAAATTAACTGTACTGTGGAAAAAAGAAAAAAAAAAAGAAACATCCCAGTCTCAGTACCAAGTGACAAGTATAAACTCTTTTATAATTAAACTAGTTTAATAACTGAACTTGATTTCAGCTTGATACCTAAACAATGATATGCAAAAAAAGAAAAAAGTCGTTCCCTCCTTTCACCTCTTGAATTTGAATATGAAATCTGAAATCTGTGTTGCATGTCGTTTTCCTAGAATAATGCGTGCCGTGGCCGTATGGACCGCTTTCGTGTTAGCGTACTCGAGCAGCCCGTTCGTGACCGGTATACGATACATCGATCCGATCTCGCCGCAATCAGGGAACACCGGCGACATCGCCGAGAAGCGCGTTGACCTGACCGAGCCAACATGCGAAGAATTGAGGGCAATGTGGAGGAATACGAAACGGCAGAGCAGGGCTGCTAAAACCACCACCTTCTATCCCGATCCGTTTTCATTCAAGCTCTGGAAACCTTATTCCGAACGTTCCAAGCCCCCACTCAACTATGTTGGTAAGACAATCTCGCGAGATGATCTCGTGCAACCTGTTGTTGTTTCAGATCACCTGAAAAGGAGAGAGAGAAAAAAAAAAGTATAGTAAAATCTTCTGTGAAACAAGAAAAAGTATCGAATAAAGGAAATTCAAGATACAAATATCTCTGGATTAAATGTTCCCGTGGAATTTAATTAATTGTTTTTAGAGAGAAAGGGGAGGGAGGTTTATTTTAATTGAAACGGTTCGCAACGGTTATGAATGGAACGGGGATTTCTCTGTGTAAATACAGAGTTGTAAAAAAAAAGTTGTACGTTAAACGAACAAAGTTGGGATATCAATTTCGTCGGTTGTTCCTCTTTTTTTTCCGTCAGAACCATTTCACCATGATGCTACATTCCGTTTTGTTTATTCTGAAACGAACAAGTCGAATGTTTCCGTATTTACACGTTAATTTATTAATGCACGGTTTGCTCCCTTAATTAAACTCTGGGGCTCTGCGTAGTTCACAATAGAGGCTAAACATAAGCGATGGTGGCAAAATAATCAAATTGTTGGTGCCTGTACGTTACCCTGAAAGCTCTTTGACTCGCGACTAAACTTTCCATAGAAAGTTCTCAAATACCTGATAAAGCATAAAGTTCTAACGTTATGAAGAACTGCTGCTAATAATAAATTGATATTGCTCGTTCAAGAATGATTTAAAATTAAATAACACAGAGAAACTTAACATAGAGATATTACAAAATCAGATACTTAAAATCACAGAGATACTTAAAATCATTCCTTTCTGATGCTTTGCTGATATTTCCAAAGAAATTGTTTTTCAAATGTTCGTTTGCCATTTAATTGATCCAACAATCGTCGAGTTAAATAATAATTGCGACACAGAAGAGTGGCTGATTTGCTCTTTGCTTGTACCACTGCAATCTGAAATGATCAGGGGAGCACATCAGACAAAAAGGAAGTGCATGATATTTGAAAATAAATTAATAAGAAGATACACGATATTTAAAATTTCCAATCATTTCACTACTTCAAAATTCTTGAAATTTTGATACACCTACGTATGTAATTTACTTTCTTTTAGTACAAAGTCATACCTAGAACAATCAAAATATTATTACTGAGAACAATTTTCTATTAATATAATATTTGTTATAATATTATAATTATATATATTATACTTATTATGTAATAATAGATATTTATTAAGTAGCCTTTTATTAAATGTTGCACCTGGCCGCCTGGTGTGCAGGAAAGTACACGGGAAGACCGCGTAACCGTGCAGGAGGTAGCGCCCCAATTTATGGAAGAATGGTGCACAAAGCGCCAGCAGGCAGCAGGCTAAGAAACGGGATGCGACATTCGCCACGGCCATTCGACAAAATTCCACTCTCTATCGGAACAATCAATTCCTACTCGCCATCGTCAAGGCGTGTAAGCAGCTTCCGTACGGTAGGCGGTGGTTCTCCTCATTTGGCCCAGGTACCGCAAGCCGGCAGTTTTCAGTATTTAAAGGAATTACTCCGTGCTGAGCGTGCTCGTGAACTACAGGTTAATATATATTAAACAACAACACGTTAGACGAAACATTATCCAAATATTTGCCGATCGAGCGAATTACAAAATTAATTGATCTCGCAACGTCGGAACATTTTGTTCGAAAAATTGTTTAAAAAGACGATGTAACAAGTAACGATTACGATTTTGTTGCTCATTTTCTAATGAGTGTGTGTCCGAGCATGTGTCAGAAATATTCGTAATTTTCTCCTTGCTTGATTGAAAATTCTAGGAACAACACAAAGCCGAACTCGCTGAGAAGACAGCCACCTTTAAGGGCACCGTTGACAACGAGCATTTCTTCAATGTCCAGCAATCGCGGAAGCAATTTCTGAAGCCGGCGCTGCGAATTCCGACGAAAGCCAATTACGAATTCGGCCAGGGACGGTACACACCGAACGTGCAAAATATTGGTCAAGTATGGGCGGTGAGTACAACGAAATCTCTGTAGTTCATTCCCTAAAATCAACCAAGATATCTTCAAAAATATATTAATAACAGTACCTGTAATATATATTGTATTAATGTATTAATATACACCTGTAATGTATATTAATATATTAATAACAGTACCAGTAATACATTCCACATTACATGTTCATAGCTCACAATATCATTACAAACATGCAATATATATTAATATATTAATAATATACTAATATATTAATATAATACATGTAGTATATATTAATATATTAATACCGGTACCAGTGATACATTCCATATTACATGTTCTTAGCTCATAATATCATTACAAACCTGTAATATATTACTGTAATATATATTAATATATTAGTGTAATATATATTAATACATTAATAACAGTACCAGTAATACATTCCACATTACATGTTCTTAGCTCACAATATCATTACTTGCAATATATATTAATGTATTAATATATACATGTAATATATATTCATATATTAATAACAGTACCAGTGATACATTCTACATTATATATTCTTAGCTCATAATATCATAACAAACCTGTAATATATTATAATATATATTACTATAATATATATTAATATATTAATATATACCTGTAATATATTAATGTAATATACATTAATAACAGTACCAGTGATACATTCCACATTACATGTTCTTAGCTCACAATATCATTACAAATCTTTTCATCAACATTGTCATTGCTAAATTATGATTTTCATGCAATTTCATATATTTTTACAAACGTGACTGAAAAAGAAACAGACTCTGTACACCTTTGCACCATTGACAATTAACATAAAAGAATGCACACAGTCATCTCAGTTAACGTGAGAGTTTACAGCGACGTTCTCTTACAGAGGAGCGGTCCCCAGTCCCGTGAATACTTGTTGCGTTAGTATCTCAACGGACTGCCGATATCTCCAACCAAGAAGCTACCCCCAACGATCAATCGTAACGACTTCTCCAATTGCGTTCGCGCACGCAAAACGAAAAGATTCGTTATCAGCTTTTATCCGGCAATTCCCCGTCATCCCGAAATTCGCGTGAAATTGAGCGAAATCCTTGCAGCTGAGTAAAACAGAGCTTCGGCGGAAGGGCTTTTTACTTTCGTTGTTTCTCCCCACCCCCGTCGTCCTTTTAAGAGAAAGATTATTCTTAAGGCTTTTATTGTCTCTGGCGTCTGGAATTCTCTCGGACCTCGGTCGTGTATGTGTGTGTGACATGTTGAAGGTGGATTCACCTATGCTCGAGCGAACATGTGAAGTCAATAAATACGAATGAATTTCGATGGAAGGTCGTAAACCACAGGGAGAAACGGCTTCGACAACACGCTACAGAATGTATATTTTCTTAATTCGTTTAAAACTCGCACAGATTTAATTGCGCGGCCGTGCCCGTGTTGCCTGTGTAGAATCTTCCAAAATACATATTTAAATATAAAATTTAATACTATCTCTGGAAATATGGCTGCAGCGGCAACGTAATCGCACCTTTGTGTCGCTGAGCGGAGAAAACACGAGCAGAACTTGCGCTATTATCTATGTATATTTGTCACAATATACCAATGTTAGTTGCGTTACAATTGGACTGCGCAGTTTTATGCATTTTTTTTGGAAAAGTGCGCGAACGATGCACATGATACACACGGAAATACCCAAAGTAGAGAGTTGTAATGTACAACAGATAGAGAAAACGAACTTCCATCTAAGTTCCTTGAATATGTTCGTAAAAATTCACATTACGCATAAAAATTCCGCGGTGTGATTGTAATACGTGAATATTACTTTTCATAAATTGACTGAAATTTGTCTCTTCACACGGTACTATGACAATAAGGAGACTGCTAAGATAGACTCTCTCCGTTCCTCAAATAAGGAAAAATCTGAAAAATACAAATGTTTTCTTCAGAGACGCGAGAAAACTTTGTTCTTGGCATTTTATTTATGGGAGATCGTGCAATATCGTTTATAATTATTTAAGCAAATATTAGAATTAAGTCGTATTATAAACGATACTTTGTCTTTTGCAACTTTATTTGATAATTGTACTATTAATTTACTATTAAGTTAAACAATAACGAGCGATAATTTAACATATCAGATGATTATTTACCATGGTTCGTCGGAGTATGAGTTGTTTCTTTCTTCGACATATAAATACATCTGCAGCTTAATAATGGTTGCGACGATATGATCGAAATGATACAATCGTTAATTCAATCCAACGATAGAAGAGATAGTGCTCTGGTTTTCTCCGCCTTATTTGAACTTGACAATAAAATAGAAAGACTAATATTTTGAAAATTTTAACAATATATATATATATATATAAATATATAAATAAAGTATAATCAACGGAACTGTACCGAAGACAATAATTATTGTTAAGAGATATTCTTGTAATCTGTACGTGCAATCGACACGGATGCGATTTCAATTTTTCTTTTACACATCAATGACCGATAATTGTGCATGCAAAAATTGTGAATTCTTTTTGAAGACCAAAGAAAAAAAAAAAAGAAAAGAAAAAGAAAAGAAAGATGAAAACGCACCGTTGACATTTTGTTCAGTGTGCTTATTCGAACTTCGTGTGTATCGATTGCACGTGCAATCGGTTTAACTTTCAACCCTTAAGCACTCGATTGAGAGGGCCGCAAAACTTACGTTGTAACTCTTACTTTTCGAACAAGAACTTTTGTTAGATGAACATATCAAGGGTAACACAACTATTGAACGAACAAAACCAAAACGTTTTACTTGCACGAAAACGAAGGAGGGATAATATTGTGTTTTTATCTTTAGAACACTAGAACCACTGAGGTGGTCTCAACATGATTAACTCATAATTTTCGTCAGATATATTACAGATGAAAAACAGTGTATTTCTAGAGATTTTTTTTTTTTATAAACCGCCTAAATAAAAGCTTGCGTATTCTATTGTACCTTACAGTTTTTCTATTTTTTTTTTTTTTTTCGTTGCAATATCTCTGACGAAAATTCTTGGTGGTTCTAGTGTTGATTTGCCATGCGAACGTTATGCGAATAAGAAACACGAGCTTAAGGGTTCTAATTATACATAATGACAATAAATATAAACGTTTCTTGTGACGAGGTAGGTTAAAAAAAAAAAAAAAACAGACATTCACACGGCTTAATCCACGCTCTTGTGCTGAGAATTAACCACTTTCAACTCTTGTGACAGCGTACAAAAACCTAAAAAAAGAAAAAAAAGAGAGAGAAAAAAGGAAAAAGAAACTTCTGAACAATTATATAGAACAGTTTGATACCAATCGCGGTTCTAATATTTGACTATAAATACTTTATACTTGTATACATCTATTTGAATACGACACGGTGCGTATACTGCACATAATAACACATAACAGAGGATACACGTATATATATATATATACACATATATATGTATATATATCAATGTTATGCATACACGTAGAACCACGCGTACATTACATGCATATCAAGGTACACGCAAATATAATATATATTTGTTATACTACCTATTGACTATTATTATGTTGACTGGTGTGTTAATTAAGTTTTAAAGAATGGATCTTTCCGGCTGAGATTCTTCAATAGCAGAATCAGTGCCTGATATCCAAGCTAGAGACTGGTTGGAAATCTCTTTGGATACAGATTATTAAGCTATTCATTCACCTTCCTTTCGGCTGTCTCAATGTAAGAAGTTTCTGTTCTTCGAATGTGTACAGCGACATACTAAACATGTATACATGTGTGAAAAAAATCACTAAAAAAAAAAAAAGAAGAATTATATCCTGGGCGATGTTAGAAATAGTATATTTATGTAAAACTCTACAGGTGAAATTAATTTAAGGCGCGGGAGGCATGTCAGGGGTCGGAGCATCAAATCTTCCTCAACGTGAATCAACAAGGGTCGTATGTGTACAATAACGTAATTTATTTTTTTTACCTTCTGGATTTGAACGCACGTGCTCCTTAATTATCTACAAGTTTGATACTTGGACCCTGGATTGTCTCTGAAATACCAACTAAAATAAATTAGTAAGAACACGCTTCGAATTTCCTGCCCTAATAATTGTTCATTTCGCTCGACACTCTCCTTTTTATGTTTGAAATATAACTATGACAATATTAGCTATGGCAAATTGAGTTTACGACTCTTTCTATTTAACCATGCTGTCCCAATTATCAAGTTCACTCGGTTCCATCGTTCGATCGTGCAATTACCGACGAAAAAAAGTCGTTAGGAAATGAAGTTGCATTTTCGCGGGAACATCTCGTTCGAATATTTCGCACGATTTGAATGTTTGGGCGACGAGCGGATGAATGAAAGGTGATGGTACTCGTAACTTTGAAACTAATGAAACAGCATACCCATCGTGTAGTAATTTGCATGAATTTGCGAACGACACAGACTGGTAATTATTCAGTGACCGTGACATTTGTAAGTTCCGAAACACAGGGGAGAGATGTGTCGTAACAAGTTCCATTTCAATGTTTCATTGACTAGTGTCGACATCTAGCCTAAACTTTCAGTGACTCTGATGTTGATGTTTTCTAACCTCTACGTTAGTATTGTTTTCAAGCTCCCTAAATATAGAAAATGTATTCTTGAATTGATTTATGACACAACATTTTAAAGAAATATTTTCATTAAAATATATAAATAAAATGTTCAACGTTTCGCGGTATCTTCAGTAAAGAATCATGTCGCTTTTCAAGTAAAGGTTGTAAGTAATAAAAACAAATACTTCCTATTGAAACAACGTGGGGATGACGATGATATTTCTAAATATCGTACGTAACGCTGTTCAACCGACTCGACACGCAAGAGCATTGAACGCGGTTGATTCGTGCGTGACACGAACGTATGCAAGGTGGGTCAGTCGGAAACCGATTGCAATTGTTAACGAAGATGAGTTGTTCGATTGCGAAGATACTACTCGACCGCCAGTTCGTCGAGAGAGAAGAACTTCCGCGAGGAAATCGAAGAAGAAAAAACCTCAAGAAGGGAAAACCGAAGAAACCGAGAACGCCAGGAAAAAGAATTTGTTTATGAAACTTAAAGAAAATGATAAAATTGTATCGTAAGTTATTCATTTGTTTTTCTTCTTTTCTTTTTATTATTTTATCATTATCTCAGATAGAGAAGACAATGAAGTCACGTACAAAGTGGAAAAGGATTATTTGAAAATTTTGATTCTTGTAGATCCTTGATGACTAATTTAAAGTCGCGAAAGAGGAGAGAAAAGAACGACGAGATTATCCTGGAAGGGCAAAGACTGATCAAAGATGCTTTAAAATCTGGCGCAATACCAAATGCCATGATCTTCAATGATTTATCTGATCTAGCTGCATTAAAACTTCCAGAAGAAGTTAAATTGTACAAAGTTCCTTATAACACGATACAGTTGTGGTCTACTTTAACCACTTCTCCTGGTTTGTTAGGTAATTAATATTACATACTTTAAGTATACAAAGTATCCTAAACTTAATTCATTAATCTATACGTAAAAATTCGACCAAATGCTTTGTTATGGAATTATAAACAAATTATATATGTGAAATATATAAGTAGCAACACATTCTCTATTAAAGCACACAGACAGTTAAGTACATGTTAAGTAGATCTCTTCCTTCATGTGCTAACAATTTTGTATTAATCATAATAATCACAATAAAAAATAATTTTTAATTCCATCAAACTTGATATCGGCGAATAATAGAATTAATAATACTATGTTGAAAATTTTGCCGAGTTTCAATGAAATAATTCTGTGCATTAGTTCTCCATGCAAAATTACTTTTCTTGACTAAATCTTTTTTTTTTTAAATTCTCCATAAATAAAAAATCAAATAGTACCTATTTCTTATGTACAATATTTATTTATAACTCTGTAACAAGGCATTTCCTGACAAACTTTGTACATTTTTTCTTCATTTTACATGTAAATGAAGCCCTAGTAGTTTGGTCATTAAAACTTTAAACATTCTGTACAAACCACTTGTTTCAACAAATTTAACACTTCAATGATATTACGTGTATTTTCTTTCGCAATGTAGGAATTTTCAAAACTCCGGATGTGCAAAAGAATAAACCAATTGAAAATGCATTGCCACTTACTGTTATCTGTGAGAATATAAGGGAACCAGGGAATTTAGGATCTATTATGAGATCTGTTGCAGCAGTAGGCTGTGAAAAATTGATTCTAATGAAAGGTATTGTGATATTGAATTTATAACCATAAATTATAATATATGAACAATTTTTTAAACAAACGGATAATTACTGAATTATGTTCAGGATGCGTAGATTTATGGGATCCGAAAGTTCTCAGAAGTGCAGCTGGCACTCATTTCCAACTGCCTATTTATGCGTTTCCAACGTGGGACGAGATTCCATCGCTAATTAGCGAAGAGAGTCATATTTTCATAGCGGATAGCAATTTTGGCGATGAATTTTTACCCAGGTATTCACCTGAAATACTCGAGTCGAGTTTACAAATATTTGACATCGATCCAGAAGATTTGAAAACGAAATTTACTCTGGACAGTAACCAATCAGAGGAAACAATACCAAGAAATAAATACCTGATGAAACAGTTCATGTTGAAACTACCTATTATTCCATATTACTCTATAGATTACACAAGAAGAGAATCAGTAATTATCTTAAGCGGAGAAACTGAAGGTTTGAATTTCAATTCTTCTAAATTCTTAAAAGAAAGAAAGAGTATCCGTATTAATATACCTCTAGCAAAAGGTGTGGATAGTTTAAACGCAGGGGTAGCACTTGGTATCGTTGCCTTTGAAATTAAGAGACAATTTTTGAAGAAGGGAAGTCTCCTTTGATAGGAATTTTCTTAACGAACGTCAAGTATCTGTACAAATAAATCCTCGACTTTCGTTCTTGAATAAATTTTGCATTTATTATTTACAAGAGCTTACCTTATTCAAAGTTTGTAAGAGATAAAATAGAAAAAGTAGTAGAATTCATAAATACGATTTATATTACATTTTAAGTTCCATTGTTAACGGGTTGAGCAGCAGCTGGTCGAACTGCGAAAATATGTAACAAAATATGTAACAAAATATAATATATATCTCATCTGTTTTATACTCGTTTAGTAAAAAATCTTACTTGCACAACTTTGAGGTTGGAACTTTATGTCGTCGATCGCAAAACCTCCGTTACTGGCGCTTCCTCTTAAGATGAGACGGTAAGGTACACGAGCATCTATTGTCACCTGTGCGGCAGTCCATACAGGTCTGGGATTGTTAAATCCTTTTGCCGTTAACGACCATAACTAAAACGAACGAAACATTAGTTTTATTAGAAAAACCTCGGATCTCAAAGGATTACAAATATCTACAGGTTGTTGTTTTCCATTGCTCTCTTCGTCGTCGCCTGCTTCCTCGTCGGCATTCATTTTGATAATTTGCAAGGTTGTAGATTCCTCGACCCCGAAGGCAGCGAACCAAAAAGTCAAACAAACGGACTCCTCGTCGGGCGACGTCTGAATCACGGGTGATTGTAACCGTACATCCGTTGATTGTTTATTAGTGGTAAAAATGTCGAAGAAAACAAAGTCTCCTGTTGCTCCAAAAGTTTTGTCCAACAGCTGAGCTGGACGATGAGCGAGAAACGCACGCTGCCAAGTGACTGCACGCTCGTTCTCGGAGAAAGTAATATTTTCCCAACCGCACAAACCTTTCTCAAAGCTGCAATCTTCCGGTCTCACAGATGCACTGGGTGGTTTCACTACATGCATCGTTAACAATGTAATTAGTTTGAGGAAGGAATATACGTATACCCACAAACTTGTGAAGCTTACCGGAACAGTTGCCAGTATAAAAAGCAATATCGTCAATGCCAATGCTGCCACTGGCACGATTGGGACCCCAAGTGCCCTCAAAAACCACATTGAAGTTTTTCCTCTCGTTTATACTGATCTGCGCGTAGCTCCACGTGGGTCCTTGGTTATTATACAGCTGCCAGATTGACTTTGATTCGGTTGGTGATTCTTCGGTTGTTTGTATAGACACACGGAGTACTCCTTTAAATTTCCATTGTTATTACAGGCGCTGAGGGTTAAGATGAGACGAGACGAGAGACTACAGGACACAAACCTAAACTTGGACCGGTGGAATCAATAAAAGATTCAAACATGAAATACCAGAAGGTGACACACAACGGCTCTTCGCTGCCCTTCATTTCACGACTAACGAGCTGTGCTGTTCCGCCGCCGGATGATCGTGGCCCTCCCCTCGGGCGACCCAAACCAAGGAAGTACTCGTTTCTTCGATTGATTGTATACCCATTGCTGTACGGTTTTCGTTGGTTTCTTGGATTCAACGCTTGTACAGACACTCTCTCCCATTCCACTCGATCAGGATCACGAGAATTGATCCAGTCGCACTCGTCGATCTCGAACGTACAGTCTCGTAGCGTAGGTACAGCAACTTGAGGTAGAGCTACAAACATCCACGAGTGAATGTTTTACAAATCAACGGTCGTCTTTGCTTCTTGACCAGATCTTTTGAACATCGATTATATAAATTTCCTGAATTTTTACCTGGACAAGCTCCCTGTGCGAAAGAAATGTCGTCGATGGCAATGTCACCCATCCCGGTGTTACCTACAGACGCCTCGAAGAGAAGCTGAAAATCGTCCAACGAGCTGATGGTGATCTGAGCGACGAACCACGTGTTCCCCGCGTTTCCGTTCAGGCTCCAAATTTCTCGAAGTGGCGCTTCCAAGCTACGAAAATGACGAACGAACAGCTTCAACGTACCGATCCCAGAGCCGAACATGTGGAACCAGAAGTGCATGCACATTGGTGCGTCGGCACTTGGTGCGGGGAAGCTGGTGCTAACGAGTCTAGCTCTGTCACCCGGTCGACGAGGAAACGAGGAATCTATGTAGGCGTATCCACCGGCTGTTGGTCGGTCTGTCGAACTGTCCATTGCTGGTCCCGTTGTAGGATTCCCACTCCCTCGGCTCTGCACATGCATTTGTATACGTTACTATATACTATATATAATAATATACTACACTGGTGTACTATACCAGTATAGCATATTATAATATTATATTAGTACAGTATATATAATACTAGTAGTATAGTATTATATTAGTACAATATAAGTACTACATATAATACTATTTACTGTACTAATATAATACTATACTACTATAGTATTATATTATATTATACTAGTACAGTATATAGTATTATATTGTACTAATAAAATACTATACTACTATAATATTGTATTATACAAGTACAGTATAGTATTATATATACTGTACTAATATAATACTATACTACTAAAGTATTATATTATATTATATTATATTATACTAGTATAGTACATAGTATTATATACTGTACTAATATGATACTATGCTACTATAATATTATATTATATTATATAAGTAGAATATAGTATATATACTAATATAATACTATACTACTATAGTATTATATTATATTACTAGTATAGTACATAGTATTATATACTGTACTAATATGATACTATGCTACTATAATATTATATTATATTATATAAGTAGAATATAGTATATATACTAATATAATACTATACTACTATAGTATTATATTATATTACTAGTATAGTACATAGTATTATATACTGTACTAATATGATACTATGCTACTATAATATTATATTATATTATATAAGTAGAATATAGTATATATACTAATATAATACTATACTACTATAGTATTATATTATATTGTACTAGTATAGTACATAGTATTATATACTGTACTAATATAATACTATGCTACTATAATATTATATTATACTAAACTATACTAGTGCAGTATAATACTATAACAGTGTAACGTTATAATCATTGACAAACAGACAATTGTCCAATCGAAATCATCCTCCGCGTCATTGGCCCAGTCGCAAAATCCACCAGCAAAGTTGCAGAAACCGATGCACGAGGTGCCCGGTTGTAAATCTATGTCGTCGATGGCTATGTAGCCTCTGTACAGTCGAGCTGGATCAGTAGAATCCACCGGGATCCCCTCAATGATCAACTAAAAAACAAAGAACTGCGTTTCAGTATGACAGTCGATAGATAGTTTCAATTTCTCTGATAGAAGGAAATTATCCAATTACCGAATGTAACTCCGGATATGTGTACAGCAACTGTGTTTGCTGCCAAACGCCCAACGTGTAATACTGCGCGTTCCAAATGACACGTTCGTCGAAAACGTCCAGTGGCTTGCAAGACGGTAAGGTCGCGTTCTCCGGGGCGATTTCCTCCGTCTGTTCCTTCTTAATCGAGTACTCGTCGGTGCCTACGTGAAGTAGAACCCTCAGGCCAGCGACGCTGAGACCGTCTATGCTGTATTTGAACATGACACAGGTCCCAACAACACCTGTGCTCCCCAGCTGAGAGCTGTGCAGCAATCCTCCCAGAATCTTCGTTTTACCATCCTTTCGTGGCAACTGCGACGTCTCCAAGAAGGCATACCTAATGCAAATCCTCCTCGAGTTACTTTGCGCGCATAATACTGGAAATTAACAGGCTGAAGGATCGTACCCTCCTTCCATGGTTCCAGTGGTGTAATCGCTCGGGGGACCACCCATCCAATTGGTCCCCATGCCACTTCCTGTCAGCCAGTCTATCGCGCTATCGCCGTTTTGCCATTCGCAAAGCGTCTGCGCTGAAAATGAACCAAAGTCGCAGAAAACTTCGTCTATCGATGCTGTGGGCAGCGGCGGTGCGATCGGTGGATACCTTGAAACGAGAGAAATTTAATTTCAGGCTTCGTCGAATTTTTCTTTTCCTCTTTTTTTTTTTTTTTTTTCTAAAAATTTTTTTAAAAATTGGTTTCAAGAGCGTACCGCTGCGTCGACGAATTTCTTCGGGCAAATGTCGACGGATTGAGCGGCCCCCGTGGCAGCGGCTCCGTGGTCGAAGGAACCTTCGTACGCGTGTACAGAATATCTGGCCTGACTGGCCAATGCCTAGGCTCGATCCGTTCCACCTCGTCCATAAGATCGCGATCGCGATCGATGGAATTGAAGGGGAACTGCGTCGAATTGAGAGCGTCGTTGGTGACGAAACTGTTGAACGCGTCCTTCGTCTCGTCGTTCTCCGCACTCTTCGTCCAATCGGCGGTGAAACTCTCGTTTCCACCGACGAGGTCTACTTGCTCGCCGAGTATCGGATTAACGAGGATCCACGAGGAGCCACACGTTAGCCAATAAAGGCAATTGCACGTTAGTATGATTAACCACATAGTTTCAAAGTATTTCCAACAATTTTCGTTTTGCAGAAAGAAACTGACAGATTTTAATTATTCAGATGTTACAGAACGAACGTTAAACAGACAGTCAAGACACAAGTTTCATCGTGGGAAATCTCTCTTACGTTACAAATTTCATTACGTGGACTTCCAAGTTACATTAACACGCGTTACAAGTTAAAGGGATTTTGAACTTCGAGTCGCACGTGAAGGGCAACGCGCGACTCCGCGGCATCCAGACGCGAGACGCAGCAATTACAGCAACGTTTATACATGCGGTGGAATGATAACTAAAGCTAAATACTGAACCGAACGGTTTTCAAAAGAGGTATGCACGTGATGAAATGAAACGAGCATTCCGCAGTTCCGGCCTTCGCTTCCTGTCGTTACGCTTCTGATCCTGGTACAGAGAGAGGCCGAGTTCGATAACCGTTCTTCATAGAATTCCGTTAAGCCTATTTAGCTACCTGTAATAATTATTCGCAATTATTACAGATGCCAAGTACTGCACATATGTATATTATTTGAATGCAAATGAACAAGATAGTTGCCTACAAAAAAAAATGTACACATTGTTGAATACTTGCGAGTTTAGAAATCTCAGAAATATTTCCGGATAACATATAATGCCAAGTACTGCACATATGTATATTATTTGAATGCAAATGAACAAGATAGTTGCCTACAGAAAAAAAAAATGTACATATTGTACTATTGAATACTTGCGATTTTAAAAATCTCAGAAATATTTCCGGATAGCATATGATGCCAAGTACTGCATATATGTATATTATTTGAATGCAAATGAACAAGATAGTTGCCTACAGAAAAAAAATGTACATATTGTACTATTGAATACTTGCGATTTTAGAAATCTCAGAAATATTTCCAGATAACATATGATGCCAAGTACTGCACATATGTATATTATTTGAATGCAAATGAACAAGATAGTTGCCTACAGAAAAAAATGTACATATTGTACTGTTGAATACTTGCGATTTTGGAAATCTCAGAAATACTTCCGGATAGCATATGATGCCAAGTATTGCACATATGTATATTATGTGAATGCAAATGAACAAGATAGTTGCCTACAGAAAAAAAAAATGTACATATTGTACTGTTGAATACTTGCGATTTTGAAAATCTCAGAAATATTTCCGGATAACATATGATGCCAAGTACTGCACATATGTATATTATTTGAATGCAAATGAACAAGATAGTTGCCTACAGAAAAAAATGTACATATTGTACTGTTGAATACTTGCGATTTTGGAAATCTCAGAAATATTTCCGAATAACATATGATGCCAAGTACTGCACATATGTATATTATGTGAATGCAAATGAACAAGATAGTTGCCTACAGAAAAAAAAAATGTACATATTGTACTATTGAATACTTGCGATTTTGAAAATCTCAGAAATATTTCCGGATAACATATGATGCCAAGTACTGCACATATGTATATTATTTGAATGCAAATGAACAAGATAGTTGCCTACAGAAAAAAAATGTACATATTGTACTATTGAATACTTGCGATTTTAGAAATCTCAGAAATATTTCCAGATAACATATGATGCCAAGTACTGCACATATGTATATTATTTGAATGCAAATGAACAAGATAGTTGCCTACAGAAAAAAATGTACATATTGTACTGTTGAATACTTGCGATTTTGGAAATCTCAGAAATATTTCCGGATAGCATATGATGCCAAGTATTGCACATATGTATATTATGTGAATGCAAATGAACAAGATAGTTGCCTACAGAAAAAAAAAATGTACATATTGTACTGTTGAATACTTGCGATTTTGAAAATCTCAGAAATATTTCCGGATAGCATATGATGCCAAGTATTGCACATATGTATATTATGTGAATGCAAATGAACAAGATAGTTGCCTACAGAAAAAAAAAATGTACATATTGTACTGTTGAATACTTGCGATTTTGAAAATCTCAGAAATATTTCCGGATAACATATGATGCCAAGTACTGCACATATGTATATTATTTGAATACAAATGAACAAGATAGTTGCCTACAGAAAAAAAATGTACACATTGTACTGTTGAATACTTGCGATTTTAGAAATCTCAGAA